CACTGCTCAAAAATGATGACTACTGACTTGATCACCTCCCAGTTCTTAAAGTGTTTTGAAGTATACACAACTTTATGACCCTGACACCAATCAATACAGTTTTTTCTATCCAGCTTATCTCTATTTGAAACCCTTCATACATGAGGTAGTATTTCACACACACATTATGGATTCATTTTTATAGCTACTGTTTAACTACTTATAAATATGATTTCCCACAAATTATGACTTCACCTGAAATTCCTCAATAATAATTTCAGTTGACTATGTCACACAGCTGGCTTACTGCAGATGTAGAGGTGTGGAATGGGAAGAAAGTAATGTGTACGTCCATAGTTTATGTTCTCATAAGCAGAGTACATTACTGCCACTAAATTCAGGCTCTGCTTAAGGGCTTGGTTCCTGGAATTACTGTAGCTTTTGCTGGTTGATTATTAGTTTGATTTACACCCCTTTAAGATGCATTTACTGGAAATGAAAAATGATTTCCTTTACATTGTGATAACTCCTCCCATGACAACTTTGAAAACACAATGTAAAAGACATATTTGATTAAAATTAAAACTAACATGTGGTATGGTGCCAACTTGATAAGCATTGAGCTGCACTTTAAAGATAAGCATCTCCTTCCCTAGCAGTGTAATCTTCTATATACAAGACACAATCAGGAAGTAAACATGGTAAACTATGGAAGATCAGCTGTCACTTAGCTTCAGTACTTTTATTTTTCCTTTTAAAATGCATTTTCTCTAGTATCTCAACAATATCTCTTGAGATCCCAAACATCCTAGCTTTTCTTAGTGTTTAACTTTCTGCCAAGAAATTAAAGGGACAAAGACATTTTCAATTTAAGTGAGAGGGGAAATTCAATGTAAGAATGGGAGAGAAAAACAGCTGTTTTCAGCACCTGGTGTAACATGAAAGAACAGGCTCTTCTGGTAGCAAAATTCTGAAGAAAACTGTCAGATACTAAGATGGATCGCTGTAGCTTGATATTTCAGATATTACAGTTTCTCTCAACATCAGTTCACAACAATTTAAAATAATACCGTTCACCTATTGAATGGAAATGGTGCCTAAATATGAAAGATAAGGCTTGCAATAGACTCAGCTCTTGTGGTTGATAACCAATTTCCTTCAACCAACAGTAGCAATAGGTGCAGTGAAACAGGACCTGACCATATGAGAATCACCTTACTGAATGCATTTGTTGTTATCCCAAAGCACTGAAGCAGTTACCAAGTTTTAATATTTCCCACAGGTTTTCTTATCATTTCACAATTATGCAGCAGAATATGATGGCATGGACATTGTTACTGATTCCAAAGAGAAATCTGGGCAAACAAAAACAAGGACCGAAAATGACTTAAAAAAAGAAAATTAACATGACATTTTTAAAAACCTTTATAAAAACTGAATACTAGAGTGAGATGTAGAAGTATATTAAATCATGGCCAACACTTTTCTTATACAAGACGGTTCTTAACACCCAATGAGGGTATTGTTTGTGGCATTTATTCAGAAAAGCATTGAATCACATATTTATGTCCACTCTTATTCAGGAAGGCACTTAAAGAATATGCTTATTTTTATGCACATGCTTAATCCTACTGCTTAAAGTTGAACATGTCCATAAAATGTTTTCCTGAAAAGGAATGCTTTTCTGAATTGGGGGCTGTGCTGTTAGTTTTATGTATAAAACTATTTTTGCCAAATAAACTTCAAATTATTGTTCTCCTGGTAACTATATATTTTGATACACATTTAAGATTACTACAGTTTCATGAAATTAAAGTCAGTGTATTAAATGTGATAGAAATAATAGAATTTTCTAACTAAAATATGCATGGTTTTACATCCACATGGATAGCTGACTCTGTATGCATAAGAAAAAAACACTCAGACCCCTTATGTGCACAGGGAGACCCAGGAGTCAGCACAGAACTATTCATAAACTCAATGAGACTCTACACAGGCATAAAAATCCATGTGCATGCACCTCACTGCAGAATCAGGGCATTACTGTATATGACAAGCTTTGGCAGCAAGAATGGTAGCAAACTGCTTGATTTATAAAAATATTGTGGCTGTAGCTATACTATGGGGCTACATCTACACTGGCCCCTTTTCCGAAAGGGGCATGCTAATTTCACAGGTCGTAATAGGGAAATCCGCGGGGGATTTAAATATCCCCCGCGGCATTTAAATAAAAATGTCCGCCGCTTTTTTCCGGCTTTTAGAAAAGCCGGAAAAGAGCGTCTACACTGGCCCCGATCCTCCGGAAAAAGGCCCTTTTCCGGAGGATCTCTTATTCCTACTTCAAAGAATAAGAGATCCTCCGGAAAAGGGCCTTTTTCCGGAGGATCGGGGCCAGTGTAGACGCTCTTTTCCGGCTTTTCTAAAAGCCGGAAAAAAGCGGCGGACATTTTTATTTAAATGCCGCGGGGGATATTTAAATCCCCCGCGGATTTCCCTATTACGACCTGTGAAATTAGCATGCCCCTTTCGGAAAAGGGGCCAGTGTAGACGAGCCCTGTGTGATATTTAACATCTGAACACTCTTTGCCAATAACTCTTCAAGGCATAAAAAGAATCTCAACCTATAGGCAAACAACTGTGTCTGAATATTCTACCAGTGACAGTCCCATTTTCTAATCTTATATTTGTGGTTTAGACCATTTCACCAAGTACAAAGATGATATTTTCACACCAGGAAGGAAATTCTAATTTTCAATTAAAGTACTTGCAATATTCCCTGCGGATACCCAACAATTAAAATATTAATGTCAAGTTCTTTGCAAAGTTGTGTCTTTTGTCAAATAACAGAGTGTGAAAGTGACTTGCTTAGTCAATGATGATTACATACATAATGACTTCATTACACTGTTAATAAATGCACAAATGCTTTTTTAAAAAAATATGAATACACATCATCCTAGATGAGTTCGTGCCTATAGTAATGGAAGAGAGTATATTGGGGCTGTTGGGAAAACAAGCAATTAATATGATATTGGTATGCTGGCAGGTAGCTCTAATTATCTTTTTCTGTTGCAGAAGGCATTTGAGAATCATTTAGAAGCAAAAGAGGAATGGTGTTCCATTAAATCCTATTAAATGAATACTTGGACATAGCAGCAGCAGAGGTAAATAGGGTGATCAAAATCTGACTACCACTAAAGAAAACAAAAAATTCTGTGTAACACAGCTACTTACATCATGGCCTACAAGTTCAGTCTGTGTGGATTTATCTGCTTGGGAAGCGAGAGTCTTCTGCAAATGTTGAGCCTTCTCCTGCAAAACCAAACAACATATTGTAGGTAAGTCATATTCATCTTTACTGGGCTTTTGAGCTATTAACATCGAGATAATAAGTGCAAAACTTGTGCATTGACATCTGTTTGGAAATAGAGTTATCATGGTACTATTATCCCTGGGAGATTTGTTTTCCTGGTACTGCTATCTTAAGTATCAACTGATCCATTTATTAAGTGGGCAGAGAGCTCATAAATGGAGAGTATGCATGACTCATAAGTGCTGAGGGGATATCATGTAATGTGATGCATAGAAACCTTCTTCAGGAGCAGATTAAGAACTCTGATAATCAAGCACTTCTGTAGATGCCACATCTTCACTGAAAAGCTTTCTGAGAACCAGGGTCAATTATTTAGTCAATTTGAGTGAGAGTGGAGGGAGAGAGAGCGAGCGCACTGATTTTTAAAAAATCTGCAATTAAAAAAAAATCCCACTACAACAGAAATGGTTGCCTCCTGTGTTCCCCTCATGGCTCAGGATCATGCTTTAGTCAACCAGCTTCATTTCCTCTCTTGAGCTATTTAAATAAACTTCACGTCCTTCTTTTTCTTGATCAAACCCCCCTCCCTCCGCAAGGGGACCAGCTTTATTCATATAAAATAAGATCTAAAAAAAAATGAGCCCCCCCCACACACACCAAATAAACTCCTTTCATAACTCTTCCTCTCCCCAGACCTTCCTACATGGGTCTTTGCAGTCTCTCCATTGCTTGAAGATGATGTCTCCAGCTATTTCCACCTCAAGAGCTTGTCATACTCTTTGCAGACACTAACAGTTTCCTTAGCTTTCACACTTCATCATAGAGCCCTTTATAGGGCAATCATCCTGTGGAGACTCTTGCTGTAATCAGGGGGAGCTACTTCCAGCCTTAAGAGGCAGCCACCTGGTTACATATTCTCACTACTCCACTTAGAACCTTCCCACCGCAATGCAAACTATACCTCAGGGAATGCTCCTCCCCCTACCTTTAACTGACACCCATTGATTACTATGGGATTGGGTGGTCTGCATTCCCAGACTCTTTCTACCCTTAAAGTTCATTCACCAGAATGAGCAGGCATTCTCTTTCTTCCAGGGTCTCCTAAATCTCTTCAGTCAGATGCTCTCCCTCAGGGCCAGAGGCTAGGCTCTCTCCATAGCAGCATATTCCCATTGATTCTTATACACTTTTGCAACTTCCACTTGCACTGCAGCCTCAGTGTTTGTACCCTTCTCCCGAACACCAATGTGACCCTGCCATTCTCTGGACATCCCCACATTTTAGTCAAATTTTTCCAGGAGGCAGTTCTGACTTTCATTTCCTCCCACCACTCAATCACAGTAGAAACACTCATCACTGCCTCTCATTTCCCTCACCTCAAGCATTCCAGGTGGACACATATGTGAACACACAGATGGCTCCTGCTCTCTCTGACTCTCTTTATATTGGTTTGCAGGGTTTGTCCCTTCCCACAGACTCTCATTCCAAAAGCAACTCCTCTTAATATGCCTCATGTCCCCAAAAGCAGGAGTCCATCTGCCCGGTCATGCTTTGTTTTTAAGTCATCCCCCAAGAGCACTCACATTACTTTTTGGGACACACACCGTAGAATCATAGAACTGGAAGGGACCTTCAGAGGTCATCAAGTCCAATCCTCTGCCCCACTGTATGTTCCCTCCACTGCAGTTTTGACTACTTGCCTCCATTGCTGCTGTTCAGCCAACAAACAAACTGCTTCTTCCCTTTCCATTATCTTGCTGATTCCACCATTTCAGTTTTCCTTCTTGATGACATGGGTGTTGCAAGTCCTGACAACTACACTAGTAGTAACATAGGTCACCTGCTGAGTGCACCACTCTGGCCTATGGTCATACAGAAGGCTGCCTGCTTCTGTTTAACCCCTCTTCAAGGCCCTTTAAGAACACGCATGCCACGGGTAATTCATATCCTCACAGAGGATCCCTTCATTGCTACCCCTTACATTAGTAAAGGGAAACAATTCTCCTCATGCCCTGTCATATAACCATGGATACATTCTTTAAGATAAGTGCATCTGATAGTAGCATTTTCAGATCTGCTAAGTGGAGTGATTATCAGACCAACAGGACTATCGCTTTCCCTGGTGGAATCCCATCAGCCCCACAGTGTCACAACACATAAAATTATGGATGTTTATGTAGCTATTATCTGTGCACAGACCTTAAACATTTAAGTCCCTTTCCAGTAAAGCACTTACACATATGCTTAACTCTGAGCATGTGAGCAGTCCATAAACATCATGAATAAATCACTTGCTTAAGCACTTTGCTGATATGGAACCTTAAATATAGTTATGTTAAGGTACCATAATTGAGGCACCAAACATGTTTTACTTGATGAGAAAACATCAAAACATGTTTTCTTCAGAGATCCATGCCCTAATGCAAGCATGGGTTTTGCTTTCTTTCCTCCTAATCCAACAAGAAATAGCTACTATGCTAACTCACGTAACTACTATACCTTCATTAAAGCCTGTGCTTCAGAAATTAGCATGGCATCAATACTGAACTATCTGAAGTAGCTGTGACACTGTGTAAATTAGACTGAAGCACTTCATTTACACATTTAAATAACTTCCTAGGTTGTACCAAGAATATTAGCATGTTTTATGATAGAAGACAGAATGCGGGTGTGAGGGTATGTCTACACAGCAAAGTTATTTTGAAATAACAGCCCTTATTTCAAAATAACTTTACTAGCGTCTACACAGCCAAACCGCTATTTCAAAATAAAATCGAAATAGCAGAGTGCTTATTTCGAATTTGGTAAACCTCATTCTACGAGGAATAATGCCAAATTTGAAATAGCTATTTCGAAATAGGTGATGTGTAGACACTTATTTTGAAATAGGGGGCCTCCAGCCTTCCAAGAGTGCCCTGGTGGCCACTCAGCCTCAATCAAGAATACTTCTCTCCCTGCCCCCTCCCCAGAGCCCTTAAAGGGACAGACTCTGACCACAGTGCCTTTGCCAACTCCGAGCCTGACAGCTCAGAGCCAGCAGTCACTCCTCCTGACCCACTGGCCCCAAAACATGAGCCAGCAAGCCACTGGCAGCCAGCCCTCCACCGCTCCCCAGGAGCAGTCTGCCAGCTCCCAGGAGCCTGCCAGGACCCGGAGAAGGCGGGCGCCTTCCTGGTCCAGAGTGAAGATCATGGACCTCATTCAGGTTTGGGGGGGATGCCCCAATGTCCATGATTTCCACACTGGACGGAGAAACACGGTCATCTATGGCAGGATAGCTGCCAGCCTGACCACCAAAGGCCACATGCGAACCCAGCAGCAGGTTTACATGACAATCAAGTTGGTCCAGCAAGACCCCAAACCCTGAGCCCTGAGATTCTTCTTCCCCTTGCTTCCCCCTTCCAGCTCCCTCCTTCCACGTTTCCCTCTCCCCTCTCCCACACACTCTTCTCCCCTCTCCTGCCTCTTTTCCCCAGTCTCACCAGAGTTTCATTCCCTTCCCCTCAGTTTTGAAAATAAAAAGAGTTTGTGTTCATGAAAATATGTGTATTTTATTTGACATCAAGTAGGGGGGTTAGGGAGGGGTAAGTGGAAGGACGTGAGGGAGGAATGGGGCACTAGCCCCCAGTGGGGCAGACCAGGGAGGCACTTAGTGCTCCTCAGGGTGGAAGCTCTCTCGCAGGGCCTCCTGGATACTGACAGCCCCCTGATGGACTTCCCGGATGGCAGCCTGCAGAAAGTACAGCCAGGCTCGCAGCAACGCATCCAAGAGGAGCACCAGAGTGCCCAGAGGCAGCTCTGGCTCCATATTGCAGAGTGCTGTGGTGTCCCGAGTGAGGGCAACCAGAGCACGCAGAGACAAAAGTGCTGTGTAGACACTTATTTCAAAATAGGGGACCTCCAGCCTTCCCAGGGTGCCCTGGTGGCCACTCCAGCCTCAATCAAGAACACTTCTCTCCCTGCCCCCTCCCCAGAGCCCTTAAAGGGGTAGACTCTGACCACAGTGCCTCTGCACTGCCAGCTCAGAGCCAGCAGTCACTCCCCCTGACCCACTGGCCCCAAAACATGAGCCAGCAAGCCACTGGCAGCCAGCCCTCCACGCCGGCCGGCTTTATGCAAATGAAGCCCAGGAAATTCAAATCCCGGGCTTCATTTGCAACTCCGTATGACTACATTACCCCCCCTAGTTTGAACTGGGGGGGTAGTGTAGACATACCCTCATTGAGATAGACAAGCAAACAGGGAAACCTGAGAACTGGCTTTAAGCACAGACCTCAGATTGCCTCAGGCAGCGGCCCCACACAGTAAGTCCTGACCTGGTGCCCTGCTGGAACTAGTTCTGGCCAGCCTTAAATGCGATTCAGAGTCCACTCAGTGTGGACATGCTATTTCGAAATAGCAAAATGCTATTTCGAAATGCCTTTTGTGTGTAGACACGTTATTTCGAAATAACTATAATTATAATAACTATAGTGTAGACATACCCCGAGAGAATGAAAGCTGACAATCATTCCCCAAAAAGAATTTCCTTGAATTCTTCCATCCCTACCAGCCTGAGTAACAAAACACCTTTGCTCTTGCACTTCAGTGACTTCATGTGCTAGCGATATGTTTAGGGGAGAAACTTAAAAAAAAATTCTAATGATCCACTTCCTACCACCAAGGGTCAATGCTGAGCATATTTCCCTCCAAAGTAGCATCTAGATATCTTGCTGGGTTGAGTGGGGAGCAGGACAGATAAAGGGAAGAGCTGACGGAAGCCCCCGGGTATATACTGAAATTATTATGCAATTACCTGCTCCATACACTGTCAGCTGCCAGGTACACATAGATGTTAAAGTCGCGGCATAATTAAACTACCATCCTTCCAGTATATCTGGATAGAGAGACAATTTCTACCACATGTTTAAATACCGAGTGGCATATTTTCTGGAAATGTTGCCATGTGTACAGCCTACTATTGTTGAAAAGTTTAAGACATGGCAAAGAGACGCACAAT